AGTCGCTCTGGTGCACCAAGCGAGTGCGATTGTACGGATTACATTGTATTGCCTGTCGGCTCATTAAAATTCATTAAAATTACATTCGCGATGGATTCGGCGATGAAAAATTTTTTTTTTTAAATTATCCTTGGCCTCGCGAATAAAAATTCAACGACAAGCTAATGCGTATCGGCGATGGTGGATTTATAAGTAGAGGTGCCAGAAAATTAAAAAAAAAAATATGCATCAGTGTTTCGGATACGATGCTAAAGCACGTGAATGAAATTGAATCGATATTTATTTGCCAACAAAGGACTTTGTGGCCCAATACAGCCGTCGCACAATATGATTTGACGATATACGTTACGAACGTAATTTCTGACATAAAAAAGCAGTGCAAAATCAGCGTGATAAATTGACCATTTAAAGTCGAATGCCAACGTATACTCGATTAATATGTACTTAAACAACCTAAAGAACAGAATCGGGGTAGAATAGAATAGAATAGAATAGAATAATCAATTTATTAAAACCGTGTGGTAGAACCACGTACAGCTCTCACAAATGTTCTTAATACTAATTTTCAGAGGATTACCAATAAATAAGTATTTAAGATCACATGATTGATGAGCATAGGTATAATAAAATAAAATTGATAACAGGTACAAATTTATGTAAGATAAAATAAAATTAATGAGTTACTAATAACTACTCACTTAATTTATACAATGTTACTTATGTCGAGCATCTTTGAGCCACCTATGTACCAATAAAATTATACTAGTGTAGAATGATTTGAAATTAAACGCATTATAATAAAATTTACATGTTTAAATAGATGAAATGAAAACTAAATTTAATATGTACGTTCATATAAGATTTACGTATAAAGTACATGAAATCATATAACTGACCAATCAGTATCAAATAATTTAAATATTTTGTCGCTTTTACAGATCTTATATCAAAGAATTGAAATTTAAAATCGCGAGGGGGAGAGAAGATCTCCCACTTGTAGCTGCTGCTCCTCTCCCCGAGATGTTTACTCGGATCTTTAGACACGTCGGATAAATCTTAAGCGACGCTGGGGCTTTTCCACACAGAGACAAGACTGGCACGCAATATGGAAATCGAGAAAAGTCCGAATTCATCGATAGCTTTTTATCTCGTTGTCGCATGCAACTTTGTCTGTAGCCTAGTCAATCAAAATCGAGCTTTTGCCACTTTCTCCGATCGCAAGTACTGTGCATTCGAGGAATAAATTGCTACGACAGCTGCCTTACCGCTATGTACCATTGAAAGGGGGAATACACGAGAAGCCGTAGATACACGTTGATGGAGAAACGATGAAAGTGTCACGAGAGAGCAGACGGCATACACCCCACGCTAGACATATACTCCCGATGGAGACGATCCGTGTCATTTCTTCTTTCCGCGTATCGGGTGCACTTATTTCGTGCCAGCAGAGCGCTCGGGACATTTTTACTTTCAGAAACGGTTGTGTTGATACAGCGAATGGCCCGAAGAGCGAGATTTAATGAAAAATGTATCCACTCGAATGATGCTGGCACTTCGATGTGACGACGTATTTTAAAATAACACTTGGTGTGTTTCTTGCTTCCATTCACCGATTCCACGACGAGATCGGCGCGTATCGGTTAATTGAACGAATTTGTACGAATATTTTGTCATTTGGGTGGAAGATAAAAGCCCCAATAACAAAGACTTTGCTCGGTCTCTCTCTTTTCTTCACTCAACTCCGAAGGTGCCAATTTTCGCGATCCAACTGGGTATTCGGTAGTATTAGAGAGCGTGGGGCACTTTGATGGAGGCAAAAGCAGCCAGGGAGCAAGGAATCACTCGGAGAAATTACCTTTTTCTCGGAATAGGAGGAAGTTTCTCCCGTTTTCCGAAGTCCGACGGAAAAATAAGCCTACAGGACGGTGCAGTTCCCAGGCACGCCACACCTACATTTTCGATCGGTGATGCCCCGGAGCTATCGCCACGACGACCACTGCCTCCTCGCCGATCATTTCGCGAGATGCGGCCGCCGTAACTGGCTTATGTTTGGGGAAATAGTTTCGAGGGAGAACGTTTTGCCTTTTTTGCCTCCCAACCTCCCCCCGGAAACGTCTTTTTGTTTCGCTCCTGACCCCATTCCGCTCGGTCGAGCTCGATTGTTTCTTCTTTCCGTCCTACCCAAGTATACGTATACACTATTTTTCACAAAACTTATTTCTCGCCGGCTGTCGTTTCTTTTCAATCATTTCTTGCTTTTTCCTTTTTGCCTCGGTTCAACCGTATCACATTCCGAGCATCCACAAACACAAATTGCAACCGACCGAACGTACATACGCCCAACAGTACTCGCCTCTATTAAGAAGATCCTCGAAAGCAAAGTTGGGGCTGTGTTAATAAAATGTGCGAGCGAAAGCCCGGAGTTCGGCACCCAAAGAGCACGTGCCCAAAACTTTTGCCCTCCCTCGGTTTCCTCCCAACTTTCGGCTCATCGACTGGCATATCTCATCTCCAACCGGCGAAACGGAGCGGCTCTTTGGGCAGCAAACTTGCAACACGCACTGCGAAAAGAAGTTGAAGGTCAGAGGAACCGCGGTACTATACGATTGGGTGTAACTTTGTAATTTGGTCGAGTTTTTTTTCGCAAAATAATGTATACGTGTAAAAAAAACATCGATTGCGAGTGGGTTCGTTCGTTTGTTTGCTCGATTCATCGTCTCTTCTTTTTTTTTTTTTTCTTCCGGCCAAGGTATCTGGAAAAAGTTTGTTTTCAATAATGGATCGAGAAGCGCGTCTGATAATAATAATGACACTCGGAGTCACCGAGCAAGAGTATACATGAAAGCAACCTCCTCGATTTCTTCGTGGTTATACGTATATATATATATATATATATATATATACGTCGAGCATAGAAATTCAATTGCTTTTTCATCAGTTTAACATAAAAACACACCTGCGAGCGCTGCAGCTAAATTGCCTTTAAAAAAGCCATTAACGCCCCGCGATGAATCTCTTTTCTCGTGGACCTGTTCCCTTCGATATCTCGGCGGTCATTAAGAGGTATACGTGTGTAAGGGAGGGAGAAGAAAGGAAAGTGGGTACATAGCTGTGGGTTTCTTCTTTTTCCAAGGCGAGAGCTCGTTAGACGATGAGGAAAAGGAGGGATGAAAAGGGCTACCGAGGCAGTTGGGGGAGAAAAAAAAACGTGGGAGACTGTGTAAATATACAAAGGCGGTCAAACACCTGAAACAGCGGCTCCTGAGTAGCGATCATTTTCGCGTAATTGTTATCGGTCTTCGTTACACACGGCTCAGCTTGGCAGAGTATGTATTTATGTCCTTTTTTTCCTTTAGATCAGAAAGAGTGGCGATAAACATGAATGAATTACTTTAGAAAATTTGTGATTTTGAGTCTGTAGCTTGATTTGATGGTTGGGGAAGACTTTGACAGAACTTCCAGGATCAAAAATGATAAAAAAAGTGTAGTTGGAAGTCCGAAAAGTAAAAAATTTTTCCTGAGACGTACCCGTAATACATTTTAACTCGTAAACATACGTATTGGTATACTGACTTTTTTCAAGTTTTAAAAAAGTTTTTTCATATTTTTTTCCAATGAACTTTTAATGTATTTTGCCATCCTCAGTTTTTGAATTTCGAGGTGGTAAAATGAGTGAAAAATTCAAAGTAATTCGTATATTTTCTACAGTTTTGTAAATGGATAATTCTCAAAGGATCGCCAAAAATTTATTGTACAAACGGAGATATGTGGTTGTCCCAAAGAAATGCCACAAAGTTTTTTTTTTCCCGATCTTTGACTATTTCTTTTTTTTTTTACCCATACATAGCTGAGGAGTGTAAAAATTTTACATTCAACGGCATGTAGCATCGTTATACTTCGCATTACGACCATCACCGAAATGGTTATGACAAAGTGCAGCGGTACACGAAAGGGCCATCGGAAACGTAACTACACAACAAAGCCCTCAACTCTGCTGACAACATCTCGCCATTCGAAGGCCAAATCCCCTAAAACTGTTACGTACTACCAATAAAAAAGTAAAAATAAAAAAACGGAAGCAAACTCGCATCGACTCGGCAGTGGTGGCATATCCAAGTAATGGAAGCAACGGATCTTTCGACTCGAATACCCCTACGCTCTTCAGAATCCCCACTGGGTCAAAAAGTGCGCGTCGCCAAATCCCCCGATGAAAATATAACCCTCGAAAGTCCCCCGGACCAACGGGCAAAGCAACACGTTTAATTCATTATCTCGCAACCTTTCCCCATCGAAGCGAAGCCCCGTTATTTACATCCCGCGCGAACGACCGCAGGAAGGACACAGTCCCGTGTACGATGTATTTGTTGAGCGCGTCAGTCGGACTAATGTGCCAAAGCTAGCTTTCCCCCGCACCTCGCGCACGAAAAGCCAACGACTCGATCACCGGGGCGCGGACCCGTACCCCCAGTCCACTCGGTGATTGCGGCCGGTGGGGGGTTGCTGCGTCACGTGCAACTTCTCCTGATGCTGATGCTGTGTTGCACTTCGTCGCTCGGTCGGGCTAATAAACAAACCGAGCATCGAGGAAGCGGCAAAAGCAATGCGCGTTAATCAGCATAAATGGGCTCTGATCCCTCGCCCTATCGGGGGGGGAGGGGACACCGCGGTTGAATTCCGAATTGCACGAGCTGCAGCTTGTTGTTGCTCGATTCGTTGGCTGGTCAAAGCCCGTGTGCTGAACATATACGTACACTGCTCCTGCCAATTGGAGCTTGCAACGCGGTTCGTCGAATCGGAGTGTCTGTAACTTTGTGCGCTACTGCGTCGAACGTATTCGAGCGATCGCGCTCGTTTGCAACTGCACAGGAATTGGCTGTGCTAAGCTAGGAGGGGGAGGGGATTTCAAACGGGGAAAAAGGGATCTGAAAAATGTATATTAGGAGATATTGATACTTCGAGTGTCCGTAATTGTGACTTACGATTGTTTTTCTCTGTTTCAGATCGACCCGAAAGTTGCGTTTCCCAGGAGGACACATCCAAAGGTAAGAATACGAATAACCAACCATTCGCAATTTTTAATAATAGCAGTATTAGGGAAAAAATAAAATTGAACAATACGATGTGATTACTTTGTACAGTAATGTACATTTTCTTTCTTCGCTTGTAGACAAATAACAAATCATCGCGGCAAAAGCTCGCCCTCAAAAGGCTTAAGGTATGAAAGGAGTCGCGCACATCGAGGGAGGGATAAGTGGTAGAAATGAGGTGATGGTGGGACGGAGGGGCGCACAAGAGTGAATAATGAGGCGCTTTTCGTCCTCTGCCAACACGTGTAATTACGTCTAATTTACTGTCAAAACCCAAAATTATTTCTTTGTCCTGGCTCGCGCGCTCGAGTAAAGAGTCCCAGCACCCCCCACTCCCTTGTCCGCGTTGCCGTTCCTCGTTGGTGTGGTCCTCGCGCAAGAACGAGCGTGGAAAGAGCGCGTGAAAAAGGGGGCAAAAAGAGGCGAGAAAGAGAGGGCGAGTGAAAAGCGAAGTAGATGCAGAGCAGCTGTATGGTAGAAGAAAAGAAGAGAAAACGAGGGGGGGGGGTGGCAAAAGGCCGGGGAAAATTTACGCGGCTTAATAATATAAATGCCAGGCACGCGAATTACCGGCGAGTGACTGAATTGCGCTAATTTTAATTGTACCCTTTCGCTTCTTTTTGCCCTATACCCTTGACGCGACCTCCTCTCGCTTCGTACTCCCCTTTCAGTCACCCTCCCCCCACACACATGCACACACGCGTACGAGTTGCCTCGGCAATTCTTTTCAAGCGGCGTGACCTCTGATTTCTCAGTTACCTGCTGCGAGCGACGTTTTTACTTTTAGCAAATTGCTTTGTACGCTCGAATTTTCACTCCTCCCTCCCAGTTTTTTTTTGTTTTTTTTTTCTTTCTTTGTTGCCTTTTTTTTACTGATTGGTACGTTCGACGTTCGGTAACAATGGAACTCGGCCTGGGTGCTCAGCTCCCGTATACCCAACGCCTCGTGCAATTACATATTTTATTTCCTCCGTGCACCTTTTTTGCTAGTTCTCTCTTTTCGTGCAGGAACACTAGCACGAATTCACCATCGGCAAATTTATCAAGGGTTTATTTGATTTTATACCATGTACTCGAATTTTATTGACTTGAGAGAATGTGGGCGGAATTTCCGCGCATGCCATGATGCGTGTAGACTCGATTAAATTTATATATTTTAAAATAAAAAAATAAGTACAAACATATAAATAAATAGCAAAGAAAAATAACAATTCTGTACAATTAAAGTATGAATACACCTATTGGACTAATTGAAAGTTTTGACTTTCTGTAGTTTGAAATGGCTAAGTGGAGTCGGTGTGGTGTGTGAGGCTACCGCAACTTAAGTATGATCGGGTCGAAATAAAGTCCTATACTTTTGTACAAATCATGAGTAGAAAAGAAGCAGTGCTCACTGTATATGGAGCCAATACATCAAGTTATTGCTATCATTACCACCCATGCCTTTCCTTTTTTTTACAGAAATTTCATACACGGCAACGAATTAACAAGATAATATTAATAGTATTGTTGAAATGGATTAAAATCAACTTTTCGTGCTTTCTTTTTTCGCTTTTGTTCGAGACTCGATTCGCTCGCAGAACTAAGATTATGATTACTTTAAAAATTTGGAAACCATTGAAAAATCAACTTTTCTTAATCATTGGTCCACTACTCTTGCAATCTACTCGATGCTTGGGTGTAAAATGATCCATTCGGACGCCACGATAAAAAGCTTAGACGTAAAAACAAGCTGAAATTGTCTCGACTAGCTCAGCCACGCAATAACATGCAGTCATAACTCATACTCAAACAATGTCAAAGTATGTCAGCTACAAACAAACGCCCGCGTCTTATAGCTCCCTATCTCTCGAGTCTCTCAATTTTTTTTTTTTTTTTCCTACGGCCAGAGCAGCTTGGAATCACTTGGCGCCGAGCGACAAGCTTGCACGTTGACATATATAACGCGAGCATACATAAAAGGCTATTTGCCATCCGGCAGATAACAGCGCGTATTTGCACTGCCGGCGTGGTGCGAGAAAGATTTTTATTCCCGCCATTTCTCGCTGTCCGCTTCGCTCTCACCGTAAGTGTTTCGTCTAGGACCTGCTGCTGCTGTCTATGATTTTTCGCCCGCGCACCGGCTTACATGATATGCAGCGCGTGGCAAATGAAGAGAGTACTCCGAGGATATTGCCGGAGTTTGCTCACTTGCAAAACCCCGAGACGAATGGGTTATGGTAAACCGGGACCGTGCACTTTGGCTTGATTTGGGTGCCCCCGACGCGGACGTATGTCTCGTCATTTTGGTCCTTGACGCGATCCTGTTTTTCCCGCGTCTCCTCGGAAAGTCCGCATTTTTCACTTTGTAATTTCGAAGAAATCTCTCTTTCTCTCCATACGCGCGTCGAGCCGTTCATCCAGTCGAGCATTCGTGTGTGTGCTTTTCGGTTAAACCAACACCCAAACTGCGAGTCGCACAAGTTAAACATCGCCTGCCTCCGCGGAAAAAAGTTCGGCCAAGTTTTCAAAGTAACCAAACTCGTGAACTAATTTACATTCGCGGGATGTATATGTATAAATATAAAAAAAAAAAGTTTCCATCTGCCTGCTGACTTGGCTGCCGAGGTACATAAATATACTCTCGCTTCGTGTTAATCAATGTCGCAAAGGCGAACGTGGAAGGAATACGTACATACGTCCCACGATCGAGCTCTATTATTTAGTTTTTGGCACCATCAAACTCTTCGCGCTTCTCCGCGATCATCGCCAACAGTGACGTGTTTCATAGACACACGAAACCCTTGAGTTCCACGAGATGCTATCAATGCCACGGGAAATCGAGACAAAGGAGGCAGGAACGATAAACAGGAGCACCTCTCCAAGGTGTTTGGCTCCACTCGCAGGAGCCCCCCAACCTTACGTCACGTCCCATCCTACCCTGAAATCGCTTTGTTTTTCCGCACCTATCCTCTGACCCAAGACAGAGCAGAGGTAAGTACCATCCTTCCGCAGCCACGGTCCGTAGAAATTGGATTTCCTCGAGGTATGCGCACGCGTTGCTCCATGATTCGTTTTTATTTGGCTTCCGCTCCTATCCTGGAATTGAGATTTCATCCCTCCTTTGGTCAGATTCTTCTTTTCCTTCAACACCACCTTCTCTTACCAGCAATCAACAGAAATGTCATTGGTTGGATTTTCTTCAATTCGCATATTCTTCATTTTTTCTGGCAAAAAAGTACACATGTAGCTGTTGAGAGCTCAGCAACGCCCCGTTTGCCCGTACCGTTCATTAAACCCGGGAAATATGTATATACTCGCAACGTGTATTCCCTTGAAATGATTGCGAGTAAATCATAGTTGAGCCCAAGCTACGGCCACCACGTATCACCGTTTGGCCCAACAAACGGCAAACATCCGCGTCACGTCGACCTCGTTACTTTCCCGTGCGGTGGCAGCTCGGCCAAAGAGAGCGAAGCCTGTTGCATTCATCTTGGTATCAAGTACAGCGCGCTCTCGCTAGGGGCTAATCGGGGGCGGGGGGAGGAAAAGCGAGGAAGGAAGGGGGTAGCCTAAAAAAAAAAAAAAAATAGTAAAGTGGAGTGGCAGCGGTAGAAGGGGGACGGGCTAAATACGCCTGGCCGCGAGCAAACTCGACGGCGTCCGGTGCTAAAGCAAAATCCCATGCATTTTATAACAAGCCGGGGAGCTCATTCACTGGGCTATAATACCCCCCTCGTCATAGCTGCAGTGTGTACTGAATGTGTACACGTATATGTGTTGTGTAGCGCTCCTGTGTGGGTGTGCTCAAACGGGGTCCCTGCTTCCCCGCGGCACGGCCACTTTTGTGGACATAAGCCCGACTGAGCCCTCCCGTGTACACGTGTATACGTCCGCTCGTACGGCGCAGTACATAATATGACTCTCTTACGCTGTCGTTGTGTTTTGTCGCAGTCGCCGGGAGACCTCTTGCGCGCGGCCGTACACTTGCGGTGTCCTTCGATCCGTCCTTTTCCCGTGGTCACATCGGCGGATGCTCGAGTGGAAAGGGGGAGAAAAGCCGGAGAGTGTGCAGAGCTTTAAGCTTTTTGTTCGCAAGACAGGGGACCGAGGGAGCTGTTGATGGTGAGCCCCGCACTATCTCGGCTTTCTCTCGCTCTCGGGCGCGACTGTTTGCATAGCTTGAGTGGCCGCGTCCGGTAGCCTCCCCCCCTCCCCTGCGTGCGCCAGGATTTCTGCTCTTAAACCTCGACGGCTCAAGCGCGACGGGTCTTTTGTTGGAAAAATTTGTTTCTCCTTAGCCTCGCGACAATGCATAGCTTTTTATTTTCCTTTCGCGGTAGTGGCACACTTACAAGGTGTCTCAATCCGCGTGGTTTGATCAGTCATTTTCCAACGTTATGACTATACCCCATACCTTTGGGTGTGACTGGTTGTGGGGCAGATTATGAAAATACGCAAAAAACATTTTAATTTTTTTATTTCATCTATTTAAAGCGCCATCACCCGATACGTACCGTGAAAAATTATTGCACGCAAAGCCGAGGTTACGCTTCGGCTATCGCGTCCCGAATCACGTTGCGTCGAGGTTCACCTCGGAAGTGGACGTCTCGTGGGATAGCTTTCCGGAAAAAAAAGTCTTTGAAAGTTGGGAAAAACCCCGTTAAGGGCCAGATCAGCCCCTCCGCTCGTCGTCCTTTGGGATACAACCGGGGATGCTTGACCCTTCGGCTCTTGTTACGCCAACTTTTGTGCCAACGACTCCGTGAAACTCCATTATATTTCCTCCCCCAGCCCTTGCTTATACACATCCAACCCAACTGTCGTGTGAATGTGTTGTTTGTTTTTCCCCAGCTCCATCTTCGTTTACATGATTGCTTCGAGAGTCATGCTCGATAAGATGCAACCAAATACCAGCCCACGCGTAAATCAAGAGCAAATATACAGTTTATCAACGATAACACAGCGAGGCTGGC